ACTTTTGGTCCTATGCTTTCTCCAACAGCATGACACATTTGCTTTAGCCTTTAGGCAAGATTGTTTGGAAAATATTTGTTTGTTGATACAAATCATGTGCAGATCTTTGGTTTCTAAAAGAGTTGGCAAATTGGAACAAAGATGGTAAATATAAACAAAGGAAAAGACCCCATTTATGTCCCTCTAGAAAAGTTAATCAACAGCACAGAATTATATCTGTAATGGAAGAAAAGCCTTCATCTTTTCCCCACTGTCTATGAGTACCTCCAGACATTGGAACTCAAAACATCTTCTAGTTCTGCTTTGTTGAAACTCTCAGGTTACAAGAAAAGAAGTGTGGCTCTTCTTCATTATCATTATGGAGCAAAGATCTGAACCTGAAATGAAGCAGGATCTGCTCACACAGAAAGGAGAAATAGACTGTTGCATGGGTTAAAAAAAAGAATCACTTTTAATTTATTAGAATCACATTAAGGAGAAGGCCAACATTTTCTCAATTGTACAGGAATACATTATCAAAACTAGGGGTTGGCCAAACACCTAGTTTTTCTTTCTTCTCATTATCTTTTGCTGATATGATATGATCACTTCAATGCCGTTGGCACCACCACTGGGTGGTAGAGTGTTCAGACTTCTGGGAAATTTCATCACAGTTACGAACACTAAATGTGACATTTTCTTGCCGATGTTCTCCTCTAGGACTTTAATGGTGTCATGGCTTATATTTAAGTCTTTTATCCACCTTGAATTTACTTTGGTATATGGTGTAAGTTGGTGCTCAAGTTTCATTTTTTTGCACGTAGCTATCCAGTTCTCCCAACACTATTTGTTGAAGAGGCTATCTTTACTCCATTTTATGTTACTGCCCCCTTTGTCGAATATTAATTGACTGTAGAGAGTTAGGTTGATTTCTGGGCTCTCCATTCTGATCCATTGGTCTATGTGCCTGTTTTTATGCCAGTACCAGGCTGTTTTGATTACAGTGGCCCTGTAATACAGTTTGATATCAGGTATTGTGATCCCTCCTACTTTGTCCTTCTTTCTCAAAAGTGCAGCTGCTATTTGGGGTCGTTTATGGTTCCACATAAATTTCTGAAGTGTTTGTTCTATGTCTGTGAAATATGTCATTGGTACTTTAATAGGTATTGCATTGAATCTGTATATTGCTTTGGGTAGTATGGACATTTTGACTATGTTAATTCTTCTAATCCATGAACAAGGTATATGTTTCCATTTGTTCGTGTCTTCCTTGATTTCTTTCTTCAGGGCTGTGAAGTTTTCTGCATACAGTTTTTTTACCTCCTTAGTTAGGTTTATTCCCAGATATTTTATTTTTCTTTTTGCTATATCAAATATTTCATGCAGCACTTTTACTGATATGTCCTCTAGAGCAAGGAATATAAAGGAAAGAATAAACAAATGGGATCTTACCAAAATAAAAAGCTTCTGCATGGCTAAAGAAAACAGTATTAAATTAAAAAGACAACCAACTGTATGGGAAAACATATTTGCCAATGATACCTCAGACAAAGGTTTAATCTCCAAAATATACAAAGAACTTACACGACTCCACTCTAAGAAGACAACCAACCCAATTAAAAAATGGGAAAAGGACTTGAACAGATACTTCTCCAAGGAGGACATACAGAAGATCCAGAGACACATGAAGAGATGCTCAATATCATTAGTTATCAGAGAGATGCAATTAAAACCACAATGAGATACCACTTTACACCAGTCAGGATGGCTATTATAAACAAAGCAACAAACAACGAATGTTGGAGAGGATGTGAGGAAAAGGGGTCCTTAGTTCACTGTTGGTGGGATTGCAGACTGGTACAACCATTATGGAAAACAGTATGGAATTTTCTCAGAAAAATAAAAATCGACCTGCCTTTTGACCCAGCAATTCCACTGCTAGGATTATATCTTAAGAATCCTAAAACATCAATTTCAAAGAACCTATACACCACAATGTTCATAGCAGCACAATTTACAATAGCCAAGAGTTGGAAGCAACCTGGGTGCCAATCAGTAAATGAATGGATCAAAAAATTGTGGTACATATACACAATGGAATTCTATGCAGCAGAGAGAAAGAAGGAGCTCCTACCCTTTGCAACAACATGGATGGAACTGGAAAGCATTATGCTGAGTGAAATAGGCCAGGTGTTAAAAAGACAAATACGATATGATCTCACCTTTAACAGGAAGCTAAACAACAAAACAAACAAGCAAACAGAATAGAAACAAAGACACTGAAATAGAGAACAAGGGGACAGTGACCAGAGGGGAGAGGAAAGGGAATTTAAGGGGAAAAAAGGGGAGGGATTTGGAGGAACAAATAGGAAGGACACAGGGACGAGAACTAAGGGGGGTGGAAATGGGAGGGAGGTGGGGAGCACAGGGTGGGGGAGGCTGGGATGGGAGAAATAGACAAAAAACTGTACTTGAAAAATAACTAAATAAAATTTTAAAAAATATTAAAAAGAAAACACTGAATGTGTGTGAAGAAAGCAACTGGCAATAAAGGAAATCATTCTTCCCAGGCTAATTTACTGTTTTTCACTGGGAGAATTCTGCAGCTATTCTTGCTACATGTTTTTTTTAAAGGAAACTTAAAAAAATATTTTATTTGTTTATTTTTAGAGAAAAGAGAAAGGAGAAAGAGAGGGAGAGAAACATCAATGTGTGGCTGCCTCTTGCACACCACCTACTGGGGACCTGGCCTGCATCTCAAGCATGTGCCCTACCTGGAAATTAAACCAGTGGCCCTTGGTTCACAGGCCATCATTCAATCCACTGAGGCACAACAGCCTGGCCTCTTGCTACATGCTCTTAATGAGTAATCTAATTTATTATAAAAAGCCTAAAATATTTTTAAAACAGGAATATTTTTCATTGCACAGCTGGGATATTTGTTTTCCACAGCTGGCACATTAATGTTTTTTATGGCATTGTCCCAACTGCTACCAGCTTGCTTCCTTCTTTTCTTCCTTCCTCTCTTCCTTCTTCTCTTCCTTCCTTCAATACATTTTTAAATGTCTTTGGAAAATAGTACTTCATTAATAAAACAATCTTGTGTCTCCAACTATGACAGATAAATGAGGAACATAGTTGTACCTGAAATACAACACTGCTGTAATTATCTATCTCCCATTATGCCAGATAAATCAGGGACACTGTTGTGCTTGAAATACATTGCTAGGGAATGGCCCCCCACAATGCACCCAGCATGGCTAAATATCTGTGCCCTTCCTCCGTATCCTACTCAAGCCTCCTTGACTTTCTGGAGATGGTTTTACAGCATCCCCTCTCTTTCCATCACTGTCTGGAACTGCTGCCCAATCCTTGGTCCCCACCTGCAAGGGCAGGGGACTATCTAAAGGCTGAAACTGGGACTGGAGAGGAGCCAATGGAGAAAAGCCAGTATATCTTCAAGGAGTTGACCCTGGAATTGAAAGTGAGTTCATTTAACTTATTAATAGCTCCAGTAAAATACCAGATGTGCTACAAAGTCAAAATCAATGTCCTGGATGAGGTTTGTGTATTATCAATGTTTAAGTAACGCGTAACATCTTTGCCCTGCTATTACTGAGAAATCAGCAGTATGTAAGCAAGCTGGCTTAGTGCCAAGAGGTGATTTTGTGTGTTTCATGAATCCCAAACAGCAATCATCAGGTACAAGCAATTTAAGCCCTAAGCAGGCAAGTTTCTGATGACCTTGAGACAAGGATAATAAATCAATATACATACACCTCTAACTTTACTTATCATTGGTAAAGATTGCTTAATTCAAGCATCATCCCTCTGACTTAACATTTATACTATTTGGTGGCCTTTTCTCTTTTGATAAGCCACTTTTTTGAGAGTTACAAAAGTGCTCTAAAAATTAACTTTGATAATACCTATGATAGTCACGAGAACTTTTTTTTTCAAGTGTATCCTGAAAAACAGAAAAAGGAAATTGGGAAATCCTTAGTTAGCACTGTAAAATCTGAAAGTGCTTCAGAATTAAGGAAAAAGAAGTAATAAAATCATTGTAACTTTTTAAGCACTTTTAAAAATAACCCATTTGGCTATATAAACCTCTTCTTCACCTACAATCAGATCTGTTCTATTGGAACTGGATATGTAGATATAAATATCACCAAAATCTAACCCTCAAATCTAAACATCATTTCCAAAACAAATTTAAAAATCCTTCACTGAATAGTACTGGGTCTCAAGGCTGGGATCTTTGAGAGAAGAGTCTTAGGTTACTGTTTAAACAACTCTTGTTATCTGCCTCTAACATTTCCCAGGTTACAGAGCAGGAGACATCTGAGCTTTGTGTTCTATGGATTAACCAGACAGCTGCCATAACAACTGAATCAATAGATGAGAAGCATTTAGAAGTATTAGGGTAATGCACCCACCAATGATTGCTCATGACAGAGGACAGATGGCAAAGCTACTAAAAATCAAGCAAGTTACCTTTGGGGTGACAACTGGGTGCAAGAAATCCATACAGTCGGGTCATAGGTCTTCCCTTCTACGTTGTGTTTCTCTCTCCCTTCAGTCCCCATTATGTCCATTCTGTCCCATAGGCTGGCCCTAGTGTTCTGGTAGCTCCCTGCTGAAAGAGGGAGGGAGGGAAGGAAATGAAGTGTGTGGTTCCTTCATTTTCTTTGTCTCTGTTTCTAAGATAACAGAAAGCTGGAGCTGCTGCAGCCATGGCAGTGATGGCAAGTCCATTGGCTAGGCAGAGTGAGCCCTTGGAGCAGCTGCCAATTAGACAGCCCAGAGTTCTGATGAACTTCACTGTTCCATTACAATGCCAAGTGTTGGACATATTGGATTCAGTCCCCAGAGAGCTGGAGCATGGGCTATCTGAAGACAAGAGTGCAGAAGCAGTTTATTGCAGTTGTGTGTGTGGGGGGGGGGGTGGAGGCATGGGGAAGAGGAAGAATAAGAGGGAAAAATTGGTTGGGAGTGGGTAGGGTGGTGCTCCTTCCAGACTAGATCTTCTGGCCTCTTATCACTGTCTGGGTCTCAGGTGAGGAGAACCCTAGAAGGAAAGGAAAAGGCAGGGACCATGCCCAGGGATAAAGGAGGTGACCAAGGCACACACTAGCTGCTGCTGTGGTTCTAGACCCCCTGGGTCTAGAGGTGACCTGGGTAAGGGTAGGCAGTCCCCCGATTGTGAGGTGGCAGCAACCTTCAGCCAGCGGGTTCAGTGGCAGTCTTGGCAGCAACATCCAGGGCACCTCCTGCAGCCCACTGGTATTCGTGGGAGGGTTGGAACGGCTCATCCTTGGCCTCCATGAGCTTGTGAGAGTGGGTGTAGGCCAAGATGAGGCCTCCAGCCAGACAGGAGGAGATTATGATGAGTGGAATGTAGACATAGGCATTGTCACCCTTGACACTGGTCACCTTGTGGCCCAGGAAGGGGTCAGGAATGACCCCCAACCCCATGTTGTGTCTGGTGCCTGTGTCCAGGCTACAGGTGTTGCCCTGGTGATACAGTTCCAGCAGCAGGACAGTTCGCAGCCACTGGCTCTCACTGTGCTTCCTGGTTGTCAGGGAGTGACAAGGTGACTTCAGGATGCTGCTAATATTACCCCTAGGCGAGAAGGGAGTAAAAGATAGCGACCACACCCAGCTCTCCCACTGGCTACGCAGTGGCTGGGGGCACCAGCCACCCATGCCTCCTTATCCACGCACACCTGCCCCTCCTCCCCTTCCCCACCATGCCCCCCTCCACAGGCTGCCTCCTCCCCGCCTCCTGCTGTCTCACCACTCAGGGGAAAAAGAACAGGTGATGGGGGGAGGAAAAAGGAATATGGAGGAGGTGAATTGGAGAGTGAGGGGGAGGAGGCAGGGCAGGGAGGGGGCTTAGAGGAGGCTCCAGACAGCAGAGGCTGTCAGAGTAGCTAGCTGGGGCCAAGCTCGGACCCTGGGCTTTGGAAGAGAATTCTTTTCAAGCTATGGCCAATGTCCCAGCAGGCCCCACTGGCCCAGATACAGCATCTGCCCCCTCAAGGCAGGCCCTATACAGGGGTTAGTTTTGCTCTTTAGTAAAACATTAGCTTGGACTGTTTGTCCTCATGGCAATCACTCTCATAGACAGTCCTTGTCTCATAGGCAAGGACCCTAGCCTAATTGTTTAACTCCCAATCCTTCACTCAGCAGAGCAGAGCATCTTATTGAGAAGATACTCAGACCAATTCTGTGACTGAATGGTCAGGCATTTGCGAGAAGAGGAAAAGAGAACAGGACTCCCAGGTCTTCCAAACAGGTCTTTGATAATGTATCAACCTCCTTGGAAGTACCACTGCTCTGATCTCCTGTCACATTTTTAGAGCTGCCCATATATCTTAGCTTGTGAGTGCACTACCATTCATGATGTGACCCCATTTTTCCAAGGTAAGCCATCTTCCCAGAAAGGAAACCAAGTTCTTCCATTAAAAAAAGCAGGGACACTAAAAGGGCCCTTTGACTACACTCACAACATGTCTTAGTGTCTGAAAAGTAACAGTTCTAGAAAATATACTCAGCCCCTCACTCCCATCCAGTTAGGCCAGCACCCAGCTCTGTGCATCTTCAGGACTTGGTGATGGGTGTAGGCCCTGCTGGCTTGTATGGCAGCCATTTTTTCCTCAGAGGGAATCTTCTTTCAAGGGGAAATAAGGCACTAAGACAAAGGTCAATCCAGTATATCAAACTGGAAACAGATTTGGCTTCACAGGGGAAAAGTCCTCAAAGCATTGATTTGTAGCCAGTAAAGTAGAAAAACAATGAGATGGTTCTGGTCAGATCTGGTTATAAGTGGTTGCCAAGGGAGAATAGAAAGAATGAAAGAAAAAGAGCTCTGGCTGGTGTGGCTCAGTGTATTGTGGCCTGTGAACCAAAGGGTCATTGGTTCGATTCCCAGTCAGGGTGTAACAGGGTAAAGCCAGGGCCCCCCAAAGGGGGGATTTGTAATGGGGTCCAGAACTTGAGGTGTTGAGGGATATGGGATATCCCTACACCCACAAGTCTGGCTGTGGGATGGGACACATGGAACAGGGTCACTGACAGTTACTTTGCATATCAATAACAGCAGACTAATCTTTATATCTATATGTAAAAATAGTTATTTTTCATATTAGCAAATCTAGCTAGGGAGATTGGACTGACTTGGACCAGCGATGTGGCTGGGAGGAATCTCCCTTTTCAGTGCTTGTGTGAGAGCTTGAAGATGGTTCACTCCACGCCCCAGGGCCATGCACCTGCCCAGACTAACTATGGCAGCCAAGAAAGTCAGAAACTGCAGGAGTGCTGGCAGGTGTAGCCAATTGTGGGAGGAGTCAGAAATGGGATTACACAGGGAGATCTGCACCAGGATTTAAGCCTAGGCTCGGTAGCCATGCAGTGGCTAACCACACAGTTTTGGGAGTAGAGAGGGGGTTCCCTTGACTATGAGGCTTAGGAAGCAGGGAATCAGGATGTAGCGGCCATGCAGAGGTCTCTCAGTGGTTTGAAAGAATGCAGGACAATGCAGGACTATGTGTGAGGACAATGTGAGACCATGCCAGAAGAAGAGGGGTGAAAGGACTCTCACTGGTGGGCCATGATGAGGTGCAACGTTGTTTTAGATTAAGAATTGGAGATTGCAGCAGCATAACAGCTGATGCTGCTGAGAACTGAGTGAGACCTGCTCAGCTGAGCACAGATTTCTGGGAGGAACCAAGAGCCTAGCAGAACTACAGACTTCTATTTCTTTTTCCTGACATATGGTACCCTTGACTGGCCGGGTTGGGCAAAGAGGGGAGGGCAGGGCTGTGTGCATTTGTGGGTGTTTTAAGGGATTTTGGGGTTTTAACGGCGACATTCTGCCATTATTCTAAACCTATATAACTTTTGAATAAATAATTCCTTTCCTTTTTACCAAACTCTGGCATTGAGAGCCACAGTTCCTAACTGGTGGCAGGCAAGATGAACCTAAAACAGAAAGACACCAGGGGAGGGGACTTGTTTTAGTAACAGTATCTTGGCCCCCCATGGGTTCATTAATTAACAAGGGCACATGCCTGGGTTGCAGGCCAGGTCCCGGGTGGCAGGGGGGCACATGTGAGGCAACCACACATTGATGTTTCTCTTCCTCTCTTTCTCCCTCCTTTCCCTTCTCTTTCTAAAAATAAATGAATAAATAATCTTTTTTAAAAAGAAAAGAAAAATATCTACCATTGTGCACACCTTGAAAATTAAGCTGACTGTTTCAGACCATGAAGTCCAAGGGTCATTCAATCTGCAGGTGCCATGGTTTAAAAAGAAAGTTTTCTGGTGCCTCCACCTACCATGCTCTTGGGGGCTACAGCCTTATCTTGCTGGGGTGTTTGGTTGGAACAAACTATATCCACAGTCTCAAACAGAGCCTTTCTTACTTAACAGCCTTTACATAGGTCTCAGAGACATTCTACATGACCCTGACCACTGACTCCCTCTTAATCACCTTGCCTCAATGTTCTCACATAGGAGGGGCTCAAGAAAGGATTGTTAAAGTGACTTGGCATTACAAATGCCAGAGGACACAGACAGGAAATTCCCAAAGCACTACCAACCTAGGAATAGTAGACTAAAAGTCTTTCAGGAGCTAAAAGACTGCTCTCCATGTGTTAAAACATGCTCACATATTTTTTGGGAGGGCGTGTGGATAAAGAAACCCTGTCACTGTAGCATCAAAATAATCACTTAAACTTGTAATTTCAATGGCTTATGAGCTAGTGCGATTATTCCCGTCTTCAGAAGAGCAGACAAGTTCAAGTGGTTAAGTAGCAGACCTAGAATGATAAAGTTTGACCTTGTCCTTCTTAGTCCTAACATATCACTCTGAGCTGCTTATATTTTCCCACCTCTCTCTTCTCTGGAATCATCTAGAGTCCAGAAATTTCTGCCAAAACCGTTCTCTGGGCTATATTCAAGAGTCTCTGCTCTGTTTGCATCTTTGACCTCAAGGATGAATTTGATACCATCAACCACCCACCCCTTCCTGTAACCTTCCTGCCATCAGCTCTCATGGCACTGAGTCCTCAGTTTTGTCCTCTTATTTCTCTAACCCATCATTCTCTGTCTCCTTGGCTGGATCCTTTTTTTTCTCCTCCCATTAACTGCTGGAATTCCTGAAGACTCAGTCAGTCCTCAGCTACTTTCTCTTAACATTCATTTCCTTGGAAAGTGTCATCTTACATGGTTTCTACTACCACCCAGCATATATTTAGGCAAATTTGAATCTCTAGCTCTGATTCTTCCTTGGTAATGTCTCTCAGATCCATCTGCTTCTTCCTTTCTGGTTTTATTGCCAGAAGCTTAATGCAAGTTCTCATTATTTCAGGTCAAATATGCAAACTGAGAGTCTCCTGGCAGCTCTCCCTGCCTACAACCCAAGGTATCCTGCTATGGCTAGAATAATTCCCCTCCAACACCATTTCTATCAACATGCCTGTTGTACAGAAACCAAGCGATGCTCTGCATTGCTTCTTTAATGGAATCCCATCTTCTTTGATAGGCCTTAAGTCCTTACCACCGATAGACACCATCTCCTCCCCTTTGCATTTCAAAAACAGCATATTCCAAGAGTTGCTCTCCAATACGCTGTGCCTGTTGCCTTCTTCAGAATTTACTGACTAAAGGAAACCTTGATTTTAATTTTTTTGTGTGTTCTCAGAGTTTCACCCTTCTTAGTAGTACCCAACTGTGCCTGCAGCATTCAATGCAGAAAATTTGGAAAAACAAAAAAACATCAAGAAAAAATTGCCAGTACTGCACACATCTGCTTCATGCATACACACACAAACACAGAGACATACACAGCTCACACACAATTTCATAGTCTATTTTTTTCACTTAATGTGATTTTTATTCTAAGTCAATTACTATTTTATAATATAAATTTTTTGTCTACGCAGTATGCCAGACTATAGATCTACCATTATGTATTTAAATTACCTCTTACTGTGAGATTTTTGGCTATTTCTGTGATCTTGCTATTAAAAATAATGTTTTAATGAATACATACAAGGCTAGCTCTTATTCCAATAAAAGAAGTAATACCAGAGAGAAAGCACATTACTCATTTACAGAAGACTGACATGGGAAATGGGAGATGTATGGAAGGGAGTGGAAACAGGAATGGAGAATAGTTATAAAATTTAAAAAGGCCCAATCCTCAGGAAAAAACAATAGCTGTGTGAGTGTGAGTATTCTAGCTTTTTTTTTTTTTCCATGCAAGGGGCTACTAAGTGTCCCTTCAAATCCCAGTCCCAGGCCACACCTGAATGGCTGAGATGCCAATAGCTGGAGATCCCCTTATCTCCATCACACTTAATATAAGTGCAAATCCATCAAACAAGGACTTGTCTCCTTACCTGTCCATACCCTTTCTACACCTACCCAATTGCTGCCAAATAATTATCTGTTTAACCATCTTCAGAACTCATTTATTTCCTGAATGGTAATCAAGTGTGTTAACAAGGGGAAGTAATTTATAATAATGTGTTTAGACTTTGAAAATGCCTTGGAAAAAGTTTGTTCCATGCCGAGGTTGTCTTCAAAGTGCAATTGAGATGCCACAAGCTAGGAAATGCTTTCAACATTCCTTGAAACGGTGAGTGCTTCCTGCCAATAGTGCATGCAGCTCCATGGAAGTTGGTTGAATTGAATTGAGT